TTGCACGTAAGAATCCGTTCGAAACAAAAACATGTGTTTCGATTTTCGTTTTGGCGCTCCGTGTGTTTCGAGCTGTGCCGCCTGTCGTGAGACCGGCAACCATGTTGCAGATCGTAGCGTCCTCGGACTGCCACTTTCCTAGTATGGTTGCGGTGAGTGGTGTGTCGTCCCTAACGTGGATGTCGTGTATAGAGAAGATGTGGTCCCTTTTGAAGTCAACATTGGTCGTCGGCGTTGTGGGTGGGCCTATCAATTTTTCCTCAAGCAGGTCTTGGTCTATGGGGGTGCCGAGTACCGGATCCCGAGATAACAAATCGGGTGCTTMGTTTTGTTTTCCCGGGACGTGTAACTAACCGTACTAAAGTCTAAATTAGCTAGTTGTAGTGACCAATGTGTTAATTTAGAATTTTTGTCTTTAGCCCTGTGTAACYACGTTAGTTGACTGAGTTGTCGGTTAGGAGTTCGAAACGACGGATCTCAAGGTATGGACGAATTTTTCGATTGCCCAGATTTAGCTAGGCACTCGCGCTCGACCGCGGCGTACCGTGTTTGTGTCTCACTAAACTTTTTGCTTGCGTAGGACACTATGCGTCTTTCCTCCGGGCTGTCACCCCGTTGGAAAAAAACTGCACCGGCTCCAATCTCGCTTGCATCCGTTTTTAGACAAAACGGTTAACTATAGTCGGGTGGCGATAATTTCGGCGATGTGACTAGCGCGGTCTTAATTGATAAAAACGCGCGTTGTTTTGCATCTGACCACTTCCACTTTACTCCCTGTTTCAATAAATTTGTTAGGGGTGCTATGGCGTTCGCGTAGTTGTCCACGAACTGGCTGTACCAGTTGCACACTCCCAAAAATTTCCTTACGTCCTTAACCTTTTTTGGAACCGGAAAATTGTCTATGCAGACCAATTTTTCCGGTTGTTTTTKTATCCCTTCCGAGTCTACAATGTGCCCCAAAAATGAAATTTCGCGAARTCCAACTTTACATTTTTTTGTGTTGCACGTTAGTCCGAAACGTTTGAGAACCTTGTCTAAGTGGGCCTGGTGTTAGTACTCGTTCCTTGAAAATACTACTATATCATCTAGGTATACTTGTACGAACTCGTCCTGGTACYCTCTCATGACTTCATTCATGAGCCTCACGAACGTCATAGGACTATTTTTTAAACCGAAAGTGAGGACTCTAAATTGGTACAGACCTCTACGTGTCCGGAAAGCCGTGTATTTTCGTGCCTTTTCGTGAAGCGGTACTTGCCAGTACCCACTTCGCAAATCGAGTACACTGAAAATTTTTGCACCTCGCATTTGCTTAATCATTTTATTTAAATCGGGCATTGGGTATGCGTCTGACTCCGTCACGTCGTTAAGCCGCCTGTAGTCGAYACAGAGACGGAATGAACCGTCTTTTTTCTTTGCCAAAACTACTGGTGCGGCCCACGGTGAGGTGCTTGGTTCCACGAGCCCTTGGAGTTCCATATCGCACACCATATTGTCGATAGCAGTTTGTTTCTGCTGTGGGTATGGATATGGTTTTAGCGCGATCGGTGTTGGATCTTAGAGCAAAATTTCGTGTTCCATTAATTTGGTACGTCCTACTTTTTCACTGAATACTACCGCGTATTTGTTTAATACTTCGGTGAGTTTCACGCGAGTTTCGGTGTCGTTTCCAAATTCTAATTGAGACAGGTCGGGGCTAGTGGTGGGTGGTTGAGACTTCCCTTTCCAGCATGCCGACGTTCGAATTTGCCTACCCATGTGTATTGTGCACGCGGCGTAATCACAAGAGACTTCGTTATCTACGAGAAAGTCATGTCCTAGTAACGCGTCGCAATACAAGTTGTCTAAAATAGTTGCTTCRAATTTGATATTAAGCGCCCCTATTCTAGCTTCGAATGTRGAGGTGCCACTGGTTGATGCCGTGTGACCGGGCATCGTTTGTGAATATCTAGCGATCACCGGCTGTACAAACAAGAACCACGSGTTCTCAGGGTCTTGCCCACACTCCTGAATGTATTCCTCCAGCCTAATCACGAGATCTGGCTACGATCCGGAGATGCTGATACCCCGGGCCGTGCATTCACTCCGTAACTCGGCCGTCGTCAACTGTTGTATCGTTTTACCAGTCATTTTGTATTACTACTTTTGACAGCGGTAATCCAAAARWGGTCGATACACTGCTGAGAGGTCTAGTCGTGTAGAGTGAATTTAGAACAGGAAAGAAACTTCGGTGGATATACGTAGTTTTCTCGCGGCGTTACGGAAATACGTTTACCTATTTGTGTTCGCCGATGTGGGTCAGCTGGCGGCGGAGGCGCGTTTCCAAATATAGTGTAACTAGGTCAACGGCCTAAGCGGCGGCGGCTGAAACCTGTTTGTCTCGGCAGCGCGGGGCGGCAGCTTACGTAAAGACGGCGGTGATCGAAAACGGCGGTGTGCGGCGGCGGCTTACGACGACGACAGCGATACCGGTTTGTATGCTGTACCCGTAAACTGCGCTGTTATCTGCGGTAATGTCACGGGACGAAAGGCAAGTGTTCGGAGGGGTTGTGTTATATAACGCTATACTGCTCTAATCTTATAACTACTTCCCACAGCCGGTTCACGGTTATTCGCGGTCGCSACGGAATTCTCCTTACGTACTAGAATAGTTCTTACGTAATTCTAACTCGGGAATCCTAGCTAACTGGAAAACACAGACCTGGCTAAAATGACTTAATACTAATTGTTGAAGATTATAACTATCGACGTCGCCGCCGTTTTGACCGGTTTTCGAGTGCACGCGCAATCGGCCGTGATACCCGTGGACTTTGGTCGGACCAAAGTTTTTTTTTATTGTACGAGGATCAAAGTTCAAATACGAGAATTTTGAGAAGCTTGATACGAGATTTTGGCAATAGGTATCTGGCAACACTGTTTGGTCCTGACGACCGGTCAGCGGCGATTATCGCTATTGTTTGGCTGTGTCGCCAGTAATGTGCGGCGTTCGTCGTCCAGCCAGCCGTTAGTTATGCTTCGGGCCTGCATGACTGTTGTGCGCGTCTGTTGTTCCGCGTTCTCTGTTTAGTTCATTGAAGCTTCGTACAATGGAATACCACTTAACTGTTCCGTACTGTTGTTGTGCGCTGAAGTTCCACGGCCGTGTATTACGGTTCTCCGTTCTTGTCTTGAACGTCGCTGTTAGTTATGTAGCGTCCCAGCATACAGGAGGACAAACGACTGGTKTTGRGGTAGWTGGWTTGGGTGTAATAAGTATAACAACTTAATTTGTGATTAATTTATTAGATATTTATTTGATTATTATGTAAATAAAACACTTTTACTGCACAAAATGATTTGGTTGCAAAATA